ACCCATAAAATCTTTTCAACTTTAATCTCATCTTTACCAAACAGCCCCTTAACCTCTAAAATCTTTTCAAAAGAAGTCCCATAAATTACCATTTAGTCCCTGCCTTCTTAAATACTTCCAAAACTAATCTTGAACTTACACTTTTAACTCCCAACTTCTAAAATTCTTCACAATTTAGTCTGGGACTTACATCTATTAATTTATTTAAATAAACGGGGCATTACAGTTATAACTCGGATTTCGGCGTTCTTTATATCTCCGGAATCATTGTTTCGGCCACTACAACTTTATGTAAAGATATCGGGCTTATCTCACACTTTAATTTTGACACTTATTTTTATCCTTTTTTATTATACATTTATAAATAAGTAATAAGCACATAAATGCACATAATTCACATAATACTCAAATAATTCCTCTTTATTACTTCAAAAAGAGTTACAATAGTTGACCTAGACTATTACATCATCTACTAATGCTTAGCCCCGAAACATGGGCGTTATAGGCTGCTTGGACAACGACATCTCTGGATCCAAAGCTTCCTCCTTCAACCAAGCACTTCTAGCTTCCACTTCAAGGAAATACCAAAGAATCACTCCCTTTTCACTCACACATACTCAAAAGGCTCTAGATCATGAATTAGGGTTTTGTTGGCCATCACAAAGACCTTCCTCTTCATTTTTATTACCAAGATCAGCTAGCCACTCCACTATAGATTTGGACAGGGCAGGGGTGATCTTTAAACCTAATAGTGATGACAGTTGGCATTTGGCCATCGAGTTCAAATCATGTAGGTCTCCCTAGTGTTCCTGGTCTCGGGAAAAGCCTACTCTCAGAATATCAGTATTGCATATTGACAACTACACCGAGTTGGTTTTAAGGAACCACATTGCTTATGAGCAATACTATGGAAGTTGTACTTATGTTATGGGTTATGCCATGGTTATGGATATGCTAGTTGATAGTGAAGAAGACATTGCCAAGTTGATAGAATCGGAAGTCATTGTCAACCATTTAGGTTCAAACGAAAAGGTTGCAAATGCACTAAACAGCCTTTGCAAAGAACTTCCCATACTAAATTTCAGTTACGAACCTAAGTGGGAAGATATGGATACTCACTACAATCGTTACTGGCCCAAAAATATTGTGGAATTAAAGCATACATATTTTAGTACTCCATGGAATTTTATTGATCTACTTGCTGGAATCGTTCTCTTTGTTCTCACTGTGGTTCAGACCATCTATGATGTCAATGCCGCATAGTGCCAAATTTTCTTTGATCTTATGGAACCAACCAACCGTTCATGTTTGCTATTAGTTTTTGTCTAATGTTTTTGGTTTCTCTTTGTATAGAAAGTCCATCCTTCAGTTAGTAGTCATAGAAATATCATGGTTCAGAGAAAATTCTTCTAGTTCTCACTTGTATGAGATGAACTACCAATTTGAGATAACATTTAGCTATTCATCTTTGTTCTACATCGCCTTTTAGTTTATTTGTCAATTTGAAGCATTTTGAAGAATTTGACAAATGGTTGGGGATTACTTCTCATTTCATATTGATCTATTTAATTTTTATCTCTAAATAATGTTGAGAATCATGGGATTCTAATAAGTAACCAAAATTGTAGCATATTGGTGATTGTAGTGTCATCACTACATTTGGTGTAATTGGGATTAACTTGAGACATGCTGATTCAAATTTAGCTACAATATGAGATTCGAGGTGTGGAGTGCACACTAGCCAAAGTGAAATCCAAATGTACAGGGGTCCGAGGGCTGCAACCCAGGGTTTGCAAGGGGCATTGCCCGTAGCGAGGTCCAAGAGGTAAGCGCGCAGTAATCCTGATAATGCGTACCAAGGTTGTTAAAATCTCGATTTTAATATTTATGATTTTATGATCCTATAAGTGAAAAATGATCACAATCACACTACGATATCGATCTCACCTCCTTAGTTTTATTATATAATTATGTATCAAAAATCCATCTATTCAACTTGAAATCGAGCGTCATAAGTTGCAAGAAGTCTTCTAGAACATCTTATCAGTTCATCTCGAGTAAGCCAGAGCACACCCATAATAATCCCTCTGTGATCTTATGTCTTACTTGTACATGATCAAAATTATCTTATTTCTAATTAAGATGATTCATTCTTAATGTTTAAGGTTTGTAGCCACACAAATTATGGATGACGCTTAAGAAGTTAAAGTTGATTATAGTATCTTGCGAGCAAATTTGAATATGAGTTCATTTTGGTAGGATCTTACGATCCCGATCCGATCTTACAATCATGATCTTGCAAAATATAAAACGATTTTAAGTAAGATTTCGATTTTGACAACCTTGGTGCGAACCATGTAAACTGATTATGTTCTATTTTCATTTTGCATTTATTAGTCTGTCAGAAATCGTATATTAAACTTATTGAAGTGCTTAATTAGTAACACCTTGTATCAGGTATTTATAGCTATACACGGGAAGGTTAAGATTGATAAGTTTGAAGGCCATGATTTCGGGATCTGGAGAATGAAGATCGAAGATTACCTCTAGGAGAAGAAACTATATTAACCCAATTAGAGAACAACTCCTTTGTATACTCAATCATGTCTAAGCTAATTAGCGAGAAACTACGTCTATAGGAGGTAAACCTCCAAGAATGATTATTTGAAGCTTGGGTGGAGAGATAGAGTTGATTTTTTGTGAATAATGAAGCTAGGGTTTGGAAACTAGGAGTCAACATCAAACTTAGAAGGTAAATTTCTTCTCCTTCTTCCTTAAGTAGTAATCTAAGATTTTGATTTTATGAGCCAAATCTGAAAATTCTAGTTTATATGAAATTCTTAGTTGATTCCAATGTTATCCTAGCATTTTAACTCCTACACTTGATCCAGTCTAATCCAAACTGATTATGGTGGAGTTTAGTGTGGAAGCTTGAGCTCCATCCATGGGATAATCATGTTGTTTTATGATGTTTAGGTTTAAATCTCCAATTGATCCAATTGTGTTTATGCATTGATATAGGGCATCAATGCCAATACATGAGATTTTTTTAAGTAATTTTTATTATGATTTTTAAGTAATGTACATTAGCATGGATTGAAACACTATATCATGTAAATATTAGTTAATAGATGATTAAGTAGATTGAAAATGATTTTACAAGAAGGTGTTTTGAGTTGCATCAACACTAGAATCATCAATTATACCTATTTAGAACTGAGAAATACGTGAGAAATAAGTAATATAGTAGCTTACTAAGTTGTTTGAAAGTTCATTAAGAGTTTATTAATGGATTACAAAAGATTTTTAGTAAATAAAAAGATAATAAGAGCTAATAAAACAAAGTTAGTGTTTAAGGATTATATAAACGTCTTTATAACTCCTATGACATTGGATTGTCTTACTCAATAAGTCATTAGTAGGAAAGGACTTAATTGAGATAAAATAAGGGAAAACTGCAATAAAGTCCCTACATATTGGCCTCATAATCGATTTATTCCCTATATTCTTTTTACTCAATTAAGTCCCAAATATCGGTAATCGTATTCAATTTAACCATTTGACCCAGTCAACAGGTCATCCAACTTTCAAAAATTACATTTTTGGCCCAGATTTTAAATTTTATTACAAATTTGGTCCAAAATTTACACTTTTGGCCCAGATTTTAAATTTTGTTACAAATTTGGTCCAAGCTTTACCCCTTTTGCCCGAATTTTAGAATTTTATTATGAATTCATCCTAAGTTTAGTTTTTTTTACAACTTTTTTTCTCAAAAAATTGTTTTTAATATGTTTTTTCCTTATAAAATCATATTTATACAAAAAAAACGTATTTTCACATAAAAATCTTATATTTTATATATATAAAGTTTTTTTAATAAGTTTTTTGTATATGAAATATCTAGTTATAAGAATAGGTATTTATTAAGTATATAAATATATACAAATCCGTTTTTATAAAAAAAATGTATACAAAAACGTATTTTACAAAAAAAATGTATACAAAAACGGATTTGTATATATTTATATACTTAATAAATACCTATTTTTGTAACTAGATATTTCATATACAAAAAAGTTTTTATATAGAAAATATAAGATTTTTATGTGAAAATACGTTTTTTTGTATAAATATGATTTTATAAGGAAAAAAACATATTAAAAACAATTATTTGAGAAAACAAGTTGTAAAAAAACTAAAGTTAGGATGAATTCATAATAAAATTCTAAAATTTGGGCAAAAAGGTTAAAGTTTGGACCAAATTTGTAACAAAATTTAAAATCTGGGCCCAAAGTGTAAATTTTGGACCAAATTTGTAATAAAATTTGAAATATGGGCAAAAAAATGTAATTTTTAAAAGTTGGATGACCTGTTGACCGGGTCAAAGGGTTAAATTGAATACGATTACTAGTATTTGGGACTTAATTGAATAAAAAAAATATAGTGACTAAATCGATTATGAGGCCAATATATAGGGACTTTATTGCAGTTTTCCCATAAAATAATGTCATATAAACTTTTTAAAGTCGTTGAGACTTATTGGTGGAGTTTGGTGAAGCTTGGGAGAAAAGGTAGGGAGCAAAATACCCTATAATAACACTATAAATATAGGTTCTAGCATCTGTCCTAAGGCATCCCAAACACACAATGTTACATAGCATAACACTAGAGTTGGAGTGTTATAAAGATGGATTATTTTCCGTAATAGTTGAGTGTGAAAGTTACTCCTCTATAATGTAGCCAAAATATAGAATATGATTTCCTTTTCAATATACTAAAAATCATTCAATAAAATGTCCTCAAAGATCATCAAAGTAATAGGTTATAGTTTCAAAACATTAGAGTGAAGGAAAAAACATCAAAACAGATAGCACAGAATTCTCCGGTGGATACGATGCAATCTGGATCTTCCCATTGTTACAATATGTAACATCCCAAAAATACAGATAAAATTTTGTTTTTAAATTCATTCAATTCTTAAGAAACTGATATCAAAAGAGTCGAAAGAGTATAATAGTAACATGTTATCACAGTACAAATTCCCAAAATCACTAAGTGCGGAAACCATAGGGTGATACGGTGAGATCAAGTTGGGCCCTGCCCCTTCGAACTGGAAGTACCTGAAACATAAACTGAAAATTGTAAGAACAATGCTTAGTGAGTTTCCCCAAAATACCACATACCAAATAAACATACTGCCAAGCATATCTGCGTTCTTGCCTACTACTTTCGTCTACATCAACCGGATACTATCAAGCATATCTGGATGCTTGCAATCCCCTTCAATCTATTTCAACCGGATACCGGGTCTATTTCACCCTTACTACTACCACATAATATGATAATTGAAATCAGAGAGTCATCAAACAAATATAGGCATAACTGGCAATTGTCACAAAGACAATCATCACACTACATCATAAACTAGTGGGCCAGCATTGGTGCCTTCGACCCATGGATACCACGAAGAAAGAATCACCTCAGACTGTTGGTATCAAATCGCACTAAGCGGATAACTCGCGAACTACTCTCCCTATCGCACGAGCATAAAACCCTAATTAGAAATTAGCCAACATCCTAACCGAAAGTCCAAAACCTTAATACTTGACTTAAGGACAAAGGGCTACTTTACTTTTTCCTCATTTGGCCTCCCTCCTCCAAAGGCCCAAATCCAATCAAAGTCCAAAAAGGGCATCCAAGAACCCCAAACATAAAGCCAAATATAGCCCAAGAACCCCAAACATGGCCTTAGGCCTATAAATGACATACTACAATCAGGTGGGCCCGAGGCCCAACTTACACAAGTCCAAAGCCCAATACCAAACGAGCCTATTAATCTTCTAGGCCCACTGACCGCGTACGCGCGACGTACGTGGCTTGTACGCCCAACATATGCTGGTTTTGGTCCGAAGTCGGGATGCTGAGCCAGTACATGCAGCGTACACTGGAGTACGCATGACGTACTAGTCTGCCAACCCAAACACACTACCATGACTTAATCCATTAAGTCCTAACGTCAAAAACTCATATCCAAGTCCCTAATAATGTATTAAGCCATAAAGTTGCAAACTTTATACTTTTTCATGCAAGGATGGGGCTCAAATCATGAATTAAGTACATTGAATCACTTGGATGGTTACTAGCACTTGCATGGTCTGGTCTTAACCACCAAGATCTGATTTTTATGACTCAAGACACTTCCAAGAGTCCAAAAGGACAACTCATATGGCCTGAACTTGCTCATACTCCAAGAATCCAAACTA